GTTGCATCGTGCTTACCTTGAATAATTTTATGGCTTCTGTTTGCAGTGCCTCTGATGGAAGGGTTGTAAGAGGAGAAATAATTCCATCTTTGCTATGACACAGAGTGGGATGCCTCCAGATTTGAGAAGCTGGAAATTAAAAAGGGAGCCAGAACAAATTACCACACATGCCAATGTACTACTTAAAAGTCCTCAGTAAATATAATAGCAGATTGATCTAATAAAGTATTCTGGCTCTAAACTTTGCAAAATCTTAAATTAAATAGTGTCATTTTGGTTTTATCCAAGTGACACAATTGCCTTAGAGAGGAAATTGGATTTTCTTTCTCTATATCAATGCTAGAGAAGCTATAACAATGTTTTAGAGAAGCTGATCTCCTCCAACAGTGCTCCAAATTAATTAATATATAAATATATATTGAAATAAAAAATATCATAAGGTTTTAGGGATTTACCCTGGAATCTTGCAAGAGTTTAGGCAAGATTTTGTGTGAGAGAATGCTGTCATAATCTGCATGATTTACAATTTCATGGAATAATGACCATTTAAAAAAACTATAAGCACATACACCAAGATTAACTGGCTATAGATTATGAAGAACTGAATTAAGAAAATAACAAATTACTTGGGATATTATATGATAACATGCTTGTGTGTTATGCAAATATATGCATAAACTTCAGCATTTTATGAAAATACTTATAGTCCAGCATTATATCAATACAGACTATTCTGAAACACACAAAAATAATTTCCATGTTTTTTGTCATATTATTTCATCACAACATTGTTTAATACTTTATATTTCGTGCAAGTGAGTACTGCCCACAAAAACATATCTACTTATTTGGATTGCAAAGTAGATAAAACTTCAATATGCACTTTAAAGTTCCAGGGAGCAATATATCACTCCTACTGAAAATGTTAATGTGCTCCTGCTGCATTCCTGTCTAGTAAATATCATGATGCTACTGACAATGTCAAAAGTTTAAAGATTTGATTAGTTAATTGGCCTGTGGGTTGTCTACTATGTCACACTATGACAGCTAATTTGAAACACAGTTTAAATAACCCTAATATGGCTATGTGAAAACTAAAAGTACTGACAGCATTCCATATATATATTGAGTATTCATTTAGAAATATTAGTTCACTGTTTCCACTGTTACTCTAATAAATGATTTATAGATGAGAATAATGCATTATTTTCCAATCTGCATGCATCTGAACAATTAGAGATCAAGAGTAAAGTTTGTTGAATTACCCAGATGTATCAGTTTCTAGATGTAGCATTTTATGCTGTGCTATTTATAACATTCACAATAACTGAAAAATTAATATACTGTTACAAATACATATTTAGATATATCCCACATTCAAAGAAAAGTTAAGAAAATGACTGCACATGCAAGGGTGCAGGTAAAGAGAGTAAATTATGAAATAAGTAACATGATACCACAATGCAAGTTCTATTCCTTTTCTGCATGTGCAATAGTGTCACATGCATATAGATAACAATGTGGAATTTGTATCACAATTTGATTCTATGGATTCTGAGATACCATCATGATAGCCATAGCTAATAATTATACAGTTTGACAAAAATTCCATAGTCAAATTTGTTGCTTATAAGCTATATTGTGGAGACTTTGAACAGTATCCTTGTTATTTGTGATTTTTAAAAAATAGCTTATGTGGCTGTACACATTTTGCAACTGATTTTAAAAAGAGTTTTGAAAACTCATAGAAGTATTTCTCTGCTCTTCATTTAATCAGCCTAAAAATGATTCTGCTGCTTTAAGGAATCTGTTCACTCTTAAAGCAGCAGCCATAGTATATCCTGATAAATAAGTATTTAAATAAGCAGAAAAGATATTGGCTTACTGGGTTCTCCTTCAATATTTAACAGTTTGCAGACAAGCTGTTCAAACTCTGTCCCAACATTTATATTTGTGCTTCCAGCAGCAATGGTGAGATAATAAAGCCAAGTATCCTAGGAAATCAAGCATAATTTGTTTCATTTAAACTCTTTTAAAAATATATATATGAAAATATCTCTCTCTCACACTCCAAGTAGCAATTTAATTATCAACACTTAAGTATATGTATGTGGACAAAATATAAAATGGCAGAAGAAAGGAAATGTTAGATACAGATATATGCTTCAAATGCGTTGCTAAAAATAAAAAAACAAAAAAATGATAATTTCAGAGACTTAAAAACTTATTGGTAAGTAATCACATCATTGTACATCTTCTGGACACATAACTTTTCAATGTACTTTATGGCATATTTTAGTCAATTATTCAAATACAAAAAAGTTTTAACACATTTTAAGATAATTTAGTAAGTTTACTAGTTCATCTCTGTTCAAATGTAAAATAAAACAGTTACAAAAAAGAACTTGTCATCCTCTGGTCATATATACCATCCCCAAGTATAAATTCTACTTCTACGTTAGTCAAAGTAGCTTAGTTATGAATTACACAAGCTATCTTCAGAAATGATAGTTTGGATGGCTTCTATCTTTCTGCAACTTTCAACTTCTTCCACCTAATGAAGGGAACCCACAATGCTCATTGAAAGTAATTCCGGCTATTGTAAATTATTATGTAGAATTATTCTAAATCTGTTAAGATCCATTTTATTTATTAGCTTTGTCCAAATGTGACTTCACCCCTGAATATACAGGTTTTTAGTGTCGTGTCATGCCCCCCCGCCCTCCCCCCCCCCTCCCCGACCCCACCTGGCTGCAAAATCTTGGGACAATGGAACATTTACTACCTTCTCATACTTGGATCCTATTAGAAGATATGTGGGTGCTTGTTCCTTAGGATGGATGACAATGGTAAAATGTGTTGATAATAAGCTGCGACCACTGGCTTCATAATCTTCATCTGAATCACAGGATCGATCAACTTCTTCAACTTTAGCTTCTAATAGTTTTATCTGGCCCAAAGGAAACTAGAAGTAAAGGCATTAATATTAGAACACAGCTATATTAAAATCTAGTTCATTAACCTTGCTATAACCAAGTTGAGCATATTTCTCATTCCATGACTGAAAGTAGAAAGACTTCATTGAAAACATGATTTGTATTTATCCTTCTTATTTTAGTTACAACTGTGCATAATTAATAGGATGAGGAAAGGATTAAGAAATGATGAATTTCTTTTTTTCAGTGTTCAGCTGGCAAAAGTGGTTGCATATATGTGTCCATGGCTCCATTTATTTATTTTTGTTTTGTTTTCACTCATCGTAGAGGAGTGAAACCAAGAAACGGAGGGGAAAATTAGCCTCTTCTTCCATTGGAGTCTATATGGCTCAGATTCCTATCTCTTACCTACCTAGAATCCAAGAGAAATTATGGCTGGCCAGTCACCACAAAATAGAGACTGGACTTCTACCTCCAGAAGCTAGTAAACCAATACATCTCTACTCTGCTATATATAAACAAGATAATTCTCTTTAGTTCCCCTATGGCACTCAGAAGAACACTGAGGATCATTGCTCAATATTTCAAGGAAGATCATTTAGAAAACATGATTATAAATCCAAAATCATGATCCTTGCCAGGTGATCAAACATACATTTATGGCATATAAATGGGAATACAATTGAGTAGCTCTTATAGCAGGATGTAATCTTGTAGGTATTGACTATATGAAGTTTCATGGATGCTTTGTAACCTCAAATGTTATTTTTTGAGGGAGGAGGAACTTACAGTAGATTGAAAACAAGAGAATCTGAATAAATGTCTGGATATATGTTCTTACACATATAGACTATGCATGTGTGCATGGGAATTTGTTTTAAACACACTTAAATATAAAGTACACAGTATACAGGACTAAAGGAAGTATCTGAAAAAACAGGATAAGAAATAACTTGATATAAAATCATGGCTCTAATAATTTCTTAAAATAAAAAAAAATACCTTGTCTTCATGGCTGCGGAAATAATATAAAGTTTTCCCAACTAATATACACCACACTGTTTTGGAATATCCATGTTTCACCTGCAAATGAAATGAAATATTTTATGCAGAAGGGCAAATGAAAAATTCTTTTTGTTATCAAGTATTATCAAATATAAATGGTGTAGCTGCACTTGAACATATAAGAAATAAGCTCCTTAGCCTCTTTCTGGATTCTTTTCCTGCCTAGACATGATTCAAACCAGTAGTTTTCAGTTCTATTCAGTTCTAGATTAATCTTCAGGCAAAGTTTTTTCTATGATAACCTGTGGAAACAAATGCTGGATTTGGAAGATACAGGACAGAAAGAGTACCAATGCACTTCACGTACTAGAGAATTTTTTAAGGGTATGATGGGCAGACAGGAAAACAAATAAATGCATCGGAGAATAAATTAAGCTGGTATTCTCATACATAGTATTAATGGCCAGACTTAATGACTATCATTTTGGAAACATCTTGTGGAGACCTAATTACCTTTAGAACTTTTCATGTTGAAAAAGTTGAAGCAAAAAAAAAAAAAAAAGGAGAATAGCCACTGCCAAGGTAGATGGATTTGATTAGAACCATATTTCTAAGAGATCTAAATTGAAGACAAACTATTCTGAAGAGATCTATCCATGTGGTCCTTAAGAATTACACCAACATGATAGTATTAAATTGATCAATGAATAGTTTACAGACCTGATGAAACCTAAGCAATCTAAATTTAATTATGGTCATTTGAAAATAGATAACTTTATTAATAGAGGCATTACATCAGCTCTTTTTAACAACTATAGTATACTTTTTCCAAGTTCAAATGAAATGGCAAAAAGCTTCTGAACATAGTTGCAACAGAAGAGGAAGAAAGAACATGGGAATTTAGGTTTCATGTTATACTTGGGGAGCCTTATAAAAAGGAGATTGTCATTACAATACTTTTTGATGTATTTTTTAAATTCTATCTCCTTGGTAATGTTTTACTCCTATTTTTTGCAAGTCTGCTTGGAACACAAAGAGGGATTTCAAGTACTAGGTTAATCTTAAAACTTTCCCAAAAACTGGCATTTTATTAGCTAACTTTTAAAACTAATTAAAGAGTAATAGCTAACTAAAAAGAGCAATGAATTCTTAATACCAAACCAATGGGTACTTTTCTCCAGAAATAAATAGCATGAGAAGTTTTCTTCATAAAGGCAGAAAAAGAAGCATTACATTTTGTACCCATGCGTGCTGATATTCCAATACCTAGCTGATATTATCTGCATTTTGAAAAGGTCCCTGATTAAATACAAAGACATATTAAATGTAGCCTCCAGAATGATCAGGAAAAATCTTAAGTATTCCAAACTTACCCAAATAGTAATGAAAAACAAAGCTAATCCCTAGCATTATGGGGATTGTTTATGTATCCATTTATTTAAAAAAAAAAACAATTTTACCATTTTCTGTATCAAAGTAATATTGTGAAACAGAATAGGAAAGTTATTACCACCAGAGGAGCCATATATAGTACTGTGGTTTCTGAATGTTCTACTCATAACATTTAAGAAATATAGGAACCAAAAATCCCTCACACACTGATAGCAAAGGACATAAATAAAATTAAATCCTGTAAGGCTTTGCTTCCCTAGCAAAAAATCCCCAAACAAACCCAAACCTGGTTTTTATAGTGCCCTCCTGCTCCCTTGACAGTAGTGAAACTTTAATGAGACATAGGCCTATAAAACCCTTTGGTTTTTTTAAAAAAAAAACACCCCCCCCATTTTTGGATTATTAATCTACCAAATTTAATAGTAATTTAGAATTTTTTTTGATGTAATTAATAAAATTAAAATACCCAGTTTTCTAAACTAAAACTCTTGAAACATAAAAACAAAATAGAAATATCAAGAAAAAAGTAAAGTTGTCTTTTACCTTAGTAAGCAAGCCTTTCACTGCTGGTTTAACATCTGGTTGAATAAAAAGTGGGCTTGCAGCTTGTACTTTAAGCACATTTTGTAATACTTTGATCCATTCTTCTAAGATGTTTGGGGAATCTGCAGTCATGTAATAAGTTCGTTTTTCTGTAGTCAGCTGAAGAGCAAGAGAAACAAAACACTTTGAATGAAGAGAACTGGTACGCCCCTGATTGGTAACAATAGAAAACATTATAATAAATGTAGTCTGAAATGAAGGTTTTTAACGAAATCTTTGATGGGAATTCAAGGTGATATTGATATTTCTCAACTATATTTTATCTTCATTAAAACCATATGAGATACAAGCTAGTCCTTGACTTATAACCATTCATTTAATGACCATTCAAAGTTACAACGGTGCTAAGAAAAATGACTTATGACTTCAGCGTCTTTGTAGCACATGATCATGTCTATGGAGATTCTCAGTCATCCAAGTGACGGTTGTCCCAAAGGTGCTTTTTCAAGAGGCAACTGGACTTGCTGGTTTTTCTTTGAAGACGTTTCGCTCATGAGAAACGAAACGTCTTCAAAGAAAAATCAGGAACTCTTGAAAAAGTCACATGATCATGATTTTGGTGCTTTGCTACCGGTTTGCTACCGGCATTTGCAACGGTTGCATTGGTCCCAATGTCATGTTATTGGCATTTGTGTTTTTCCAGGCAGCTTCCAAAAAGCAAAGTTACAGAAGCCAGATTAACTTAATAGCTGCTTGATTGGCTTAATGACTGTGGCAAAAAATAAATGAATAGTAAAATGAGGTGTAATTCACCTAACAATCGCATCACTTAGTGACAAGTCCCAGTTATAGTCATGTTGAAGACTACTTATAATTTAGGCTGGAGGGAATAGTCCAGTATCCTTCTATAAACTTCATGGCTGAGTGAGATTTGAATTTGGGTCTACCTCGTCCTAGTCCAAAATTCTAATCCATATGCAATTGGTAGGAATTTAAAATTATCAAAATCATTTATTATGGATGTCTTAATAACAATTTTAGATCATAAATTCATGATTTGTCTTCAAAATTCTCACAGATGCCTAATCAGGACAGGAACTCATTCAGGTACATTTGAAAGCATTAAAGGTCAGATTCAGAGGAAACTGGTTTTTCTTTGAGTAAAAAGGGATGGGGGATAGATTTGGAAAAGCAGAACAGTCTATTTTCATCCCTTGTGTCAAATTGTCAATACTCTCGACGATAAACTCCTCAGAGAGTGAGATAGAAAGTGGAACCAGAGTTGCCTTCCTTCTCTTTATTCGCAACCTCATTTTGAAATGAAAATGTATTATGCTTTGTTTCTCACATACACAGAACATTTATTTAACAGTTGCAAGGGTATATATGTCCCAACGATGCTTTTTCAAAAGGCAACTAGACTTTGAAGACTTTTAATTTCTCATCCAAGAAGTTCTGAGAAAGGTTCTTGGATAAAAAGTGAAATGTCTTCAAGGAAAAACAAAGTCCAGTTGCCTTTTGAAAAAGCATCTTTGGGACATGACCTGGATGATTGAGAATCTACACAAAGAAGAGCATATCTGCTTGTATAAGCACCATATAAATTCCCCCTGTGTGTACACATACTTTCTGACATATAAAGAGAAATGTTTCATCTTTGCACAGCAAATAATTCCTTCCTCATGGTTAGGAAGGAAAAGATATGCTATTCAAGTCCAAGACCCCATTCAAATACATATATCTTTACTTCGTTTTTTTCTCAGTATTGTTCCTACCTATTATTGATTCCTTTAATTTACCTGAGAAATCAGCCTGAAATAAATTTCATTAAGCAGCAGTTTTAATGAAGTTTATTCATATCAATACATATACATTGTGTATCTCAATGGGTTGCTCAGGGATCACTGCTAGTGGGGAAGCTTGTTATCAGTCAAACTTTACTTTCTTATAACCACAAATGAAATCTGAAAACTTGCAACTGCCTAAGATGTCTGCCAGTATCTATTTCTTTATTAAGAGTTTGTAATATGATCACAAGTCAGTAGGAAGAAAGAGGGGAAATTATATACTGGTGTACACATGCTATTCTGTTGTCCCAGGAAGCATAATAAATACCTGAACTGTTTGTTTTCCATCACCTCTTACAATATGGCTGGATGCACTTAATTCAATTTGACCTTGGGGTTTTCTTATTACATCACTCTATGGGACAAAAATATAGGAAGTAAATTTTCATGTGTAATAATGATCAACCACACATCAGAGCAAAAAGCCGAAATTCACTTTCAGATAGTTGGACATTTAGATTTTTTTTATATTTTGCAAATTTTGGCATTTAAAAATAATATAGGTTTATAATTATTTATAGGGAATTTGGGAAGGTTTAAACATAATCCCTTTCTTTCCAACCTGCATTTACAACAACCTTCTGAAGTAACTGACAAGACTGAGAAGTAACTATGTAGTGGCATAGCGCTCATTTTCTCAGAGCATACAAGTCCCACAACCACATCAAGGTAGGGGATATTACCCGGTCACTGCCCACTGATTCCTTGGATCAATGCAAAAATAAGGTGAGGTGAGGAGAGTTCCATACTTTATTGAAGAATACCAAAAATGGAATAGAGAAGGGGATAACTAGACAAAAAAATAAGATGGTGAGGAAGATAGAAATATGATAGCTAGTAAATGTCCTAAGGTCATCCATGAGTGTGTGAGGATTACAGCCCTTTGTTCTTAAACATCTCTGGATTCCAAAGGCATCAGAGGGCAGAGTCCAGAGGAAATTATAGTAAATTGGTTCCAAGAGCATTGAGAGTCACTAAACTTTCATATACTATATTAAAGCACTGACTAGCAACGATATTTTTGGAACAGATGGCAAAACTGGTAGATCAGACTTTTGTTTCAAATGTTTGGACTGCAAGAATTATTTCTATGCAGCTCTCAGAACTTTTTTACTACTCTGTTCAAATTAACATTTATTACATATATTGTCTCATGAACATGGCTGAAGAACAAACCTTCAGAGAAAAGAGATTTCAGGCAATCAATTCTTCTTCTTCAGATCAGTTCAAAAACAAACTGTTGCATAATGATTCAATAAAGAACACAGAGAAACACAATCTTAATGATCTAATCTTATAATTTGCACTTGCTTACCGGAGATTTATAGTAAAGCAATTCACCCCCTTTGAGTACAAACCATCGTCGTTTCCATGTTTTTACTTTACCACTCATTTTTAACAAATATCCAGATTTCTCTAGCACTTCCTATAGTTTAAAAGAAAAAAAAATGCTAAAATTATTTGATTAATGTACCATTAATTGATACAGTATTTGCAACCAAAATGATGTTTAAGGTCCTAATAATACAAAATTAGGAAAATTACGCATAGACGCATAACATATATTTTCAACTAAAAATAATTAAGAACCAAATTTAAAAAGGCAGCACACCTAATCAGTGAAATGTATCTTAAGCAACAGGCCAATTTGTTGAGAATATTCTTTTCTACAACCAGGAATAACAATAAAACATCTAGGCTTACATTTTTTAAGTCTGTAAAGAAGTCCCTCTCTCTTATTTGTTAAATACTGCAGATCACTGATAGTGCTAAAACTTAAAAGGCATCTCATGCAGACTTAAAGCTGAATAAAATTTATATGGGACAACTCAATCTTACAAACACCCACAACTCTGTTCATAGATCAAAATCTGATTTATAGGTATGGGATTCCTAATGATGGTATGGTTATGCAGGAGATACATGGATGCCATATAATTACTCTCAAATCAATTGATTCAGAGTATTGACTGGGTCAGATGAAGTTTCTAAATTCTTTTCAAAAAAATCTACTGATAGAACATAGTACAGTAATCTATGAGAATGAGATATAATTAAGCCATGTATCATAATGTCCCATTTGGACATCTAGAAACTGGCTAAATGCTGTCCTATCCAATACCCAAATTTGTGTCTTTAAGTTCAGGCATAATCTAAGCAACCTGCTTAAATTGCAATCTTGAGTTTTCAGAAGAATGTAAATGAATTCAAAACAGGTTAAACCATTATTCCCTAATCAGTATTTAGACTGACCATCGGTATCTTTGTATTGTCTGGATCAAGTTCAATTTCCTTGCTCTCATCTTCTTCATATCAATATTAGAAAGTGATTTATAATTGTGCTACTTTGCTGGATATCATTCAGAAAAGAGTTCAGCTTTACCAAACCCTAAAACTTCACAAAACTCTTATATTGCATATGATTAACATCATGAGAAAGGAAATGGAATGTTACGGTATAACATAAGTAAAACATAATCACATCATGTATAAAATAACCAGCACCATCTTCTGAAAGAAGGAACAAAGCCACCATAACAATCATTAAAAAATTGTTTAACTTTAATTTCAGTGAGTTGATTCAGTTATATCATACTCAATGATCTCAAACACAGACAGGACCATTGGAATCAACAGACATATAACCTCTGTCCAATTCATATACTGTGTATGAGTAACAGCACGACAAAGGAAAAGCAATATTAATATATAACGTAAGTAAAACACAATCATGCCATATGGAAAATAATGAATACTATGTTCTGAAAAAAGGAATAAAGCCACCATAATCACTTGGGTATCAAAGCAGAGGTGATATTCAGCAGGTTCTGACCAGTTCTGGAGAACCGGTAGTGCAAATTTTAAGTAGTTTGGAGAACCAGCAAATCCCACCTCTGACTAGCCCCGTTCCATCTATTCTCTGCCTCCCGAGTCCCAGCTGATCTTCTTTTGTCGCCCTGCATAGGAGAACAGAGCTGGAAAGCAGGTTAATGGGGTGGGGAGGGAATGGAGATTTTGCAGTATCCTTCCCCTGCCACGCCCACCAAGCCACACCATGCCCACCAAGCCACGCCCACAGAACCGGTAGTAAAAAAATTTGAATCCCACCACTAAATCAAATCAATCCCATAATTCAGGGGAAGTGGTGGGTATTTTGCATTTCTTTGTTGCCATTAGTAATTCTCCAAAGCTTTGCAGGCAGGCCTTGGTAGCCCTACACTTCTGTTGCTTGAAGCCAGATTGAAATAGAAAGAAGTTATAGCCTACTTACATTTTTTCCATTATCACTAGATGATGAACATGTTTTAGGCAATTTTTGTTCTGGTTCTGAGTAATCTGTATCAGTTGAATAGGCATCAGGAGGAATGGCATAGTCACCTTCTGAAGTCATTGAAGACAGAGAGACCCCTGAGTGCAAGACAAATGAATATTAATATGATTAAGATTCTAACTGATGGGTTACTTGGATAGACTTCATTGCATTATGAAATACAGAAGAAATTAAGAGTTTCAAAATACTCATTCCTGAGGAAAAGGAAAACATAAGAAGAAATTCAAAATAACACTACTCTGATTATGTTTGGTTCAAGATAAGGCTGAGAGCAACTATGACAGGATTTCAAGTTTCTGTTATGCTATTCACAACAATGAAGATCTGTGCCATGCTTATTTCTTGACCTTCCTACTTTGAAGGGTTCTTATGGTCTAAAGTGGTTGAGAAGATTCTGCTTATTTTCCATGTGGTGCCTGTCCTGGAGTCTTCCCCCTATACCAACAGGGCTGTTCCCTGATACCACTAGATGACATCGCTAGGGCTCGCTGCCTTAGAAGAGTGAGGAAAATTCTCAGGGAGGACTCACACCCCGGTCAGCACTTCTTCACTCTCCTACCATCGGGTAGGAGATATAGAAGTATAGCCAGCTGCACCAACAGGCTGAAGAACAGTTTCTACCCATGGGCTTCTGAACGGAAAATAACTTCATGTCAACATAGTATGATAGACTTGCGGGGTCGGCATGTTGTGCAACAAGGTCACATAGTGTAATAAGATTGCGACTGGGTTAGGGACTTCTGTCCTCACTGTGAGTTGTGTTGGGGGTGCGGGATGCACGAAGGGAGGCTCAGGCAAACTTATTGTACATATGTTGTACTCTGACAATAAAGATAACAATGTATAACATTCTCCTATTGGCTGGAGGGTTTGGGGAATTGGTCCACACATCTTCAAGCTGCCAAGGTTGCATAATACTGGTTTAGAACTGTCAGCCATCCTTAGTAAACTTCTCCTCACAAGAGATTAAAAAAAAATCAAAACAATAAAGAATATGAAGCACAATTTATTTTTAAATGGATTTACAAAGGTACATGCAGGGTTCCAGGCAGACCCTATAGATGGTATTGGTCTGCTACCAATAAATGTTTTCTCCCTGTGAGATGGAAATTGTAATGTGACAAACTAAAAGAAGAATATAAATAAAATTGGTAACTTCCTGCCAAACCTCAAAAATCAAATGAAAGGCTGAATTACACACTCAATTTCTAAAATTGTAGAGAAAAATAAAAACAATAGATTGCTTAACAGAAAATTAAATTAACAATAACTGATTTTTTTTATTTTAAACTATATTTATATAGACAGTATTTTCAACGTGGAAAAGTTCTGCTTCTTTATCTTGTCTTTTCTTAGATTCCTAGAAAATCCAAACTTTAATCATAGGCTGTTTGTTGGAATGTTGAATCTTCTTGTCTTCCTTCTCTCCTCTTGGAGTTCTGTCTTTGCCTTTGCCCGTGTGAGAGAGAAAGAATATCTTCCTCATGAGTATATGTGGTTTCTATAATTGGAAAGCAGCCTTATGAATGCCTAGCAGAAGAGGCTATATTCACACCTCTCCTGTGAACAGCAGTATTGTGAGTTGGAAAATATTACTGTGGATTTGTTGATCATCTTGGTACTTTTGTAATATTATTTTCTAAAAAAAGAAAGATTAATCAAGCATGTCTAATTTTTTTTAAAAAAAATGAGAGTCAGTTGTAAGTAAATTTTGAACTGGCATCAAGTCCCCACACAACCGTGGAAGCTCACTGGTGCATTGTAGCCCAACCTACATCACAAGATTGGTATTAGAAATTCATCTTGTAAGACAGCAGTTTAAATGCAAAGTTCCTTTCCTCAATCTGTAATAAAAACTGTTTAATGTATTTTATTAATAATAGCACCATTTTAACTTTATCTGTCCTAAAGGTTATAATAGTCGTTTTGTTATAAAATCTGCCCACCTCGTTTCATAGCCCGTGGGCTACCAGGACCACTTCTGCTTCGAGAGTCTGATTCAGATGTCCGTGAACTGCATTGGGAACCCTCTTCTTCAGATCCAGAGGAGTCATCTAGGAATGGGTTGTTACTGATTTGTGTTGCTTTCTGATAAAATCAACAAGCCATTATTTAAAACTGTTTACTGCAATAGTCAAAAAAAGACAGCATAATAATAATGATATATAGTATTGATATGGGTTTTTTTGATGAGAGATTGCTTAGAGTAGACTATGGTTATATAAATAATTTTGATCATGAATTGTTTTTAAAATATTTTTAGAGGTTGATTAGATTTGCTGCTCTATTAAAAAACCTATCTATTTCATGAATTATATTTGCTAGATATAGCCTATACAAATCTACACTGAGAGTTGCATTTTCATTGGTATAAAGGTGGTCCACATTATTAAGACATGTCACAGAATATTGTGCTGTATGATAATACTTGGAAATTGGCTCCTTCTCACCTCTGTCCAAAAAGAGACATGGAAAGACATTAACTCCTTGCTATTATTCAGATAAAGATTTTTTTGCACCAAAGTACACCGTTGAAGACTGGTATCCAATATCAGTTTCTTTGCATTTCCATCAGAGGTGGCATTCAGCAGGTTCTGACCAGTTCTGGAGAACCAGTAGCAGAAATTTTGAGTAGTTTGGAATACCACCTTTGACTGGCCCCACCCCCATTATTCTCAGCCTCCCAAGTCCCAGCTGATTGGCTGGGTCTTCTTTTGTTGCCCCGCACAGGAGAACGGAGCTGGAAAGCAGGTTAGTGGGGTGGAGAGGGAAGGGGATTTTGCAGTAACATTCCCCTGCCACATCCACCAAGCCACACCATGCCCACCAAGCCACACCCACAGAACTGGTAGTAAAAAAATTGAATCCCACCACTGATTTCCATTCTTTTAGACAATATTTCTGTCTCTGAAATTTCATTCTACTTCAGGTTTCATATTTGGCAAATTAAATAAAACATGCATTCTGGTTGCATATCAATTCTCTGTAGATATTTCCAATGTAGTAGAATGTAGAAAAGAGTATGTTGTACCATTGCTAGTTTTTTAGATCACAGAGAATAAAATGTAGAGCTAGAAGTGCCTGCAACTAAAATACATCATGTTTGAGCAAGAGAAACACATTTTGGTTATTATTAATGTAACTACTTTATTACTCTTTCAAAGGAGCAAGAATTACTTTTCCAGCTTGCCGGGGGGAGGGGGGAGGAAGGAAGAAGAATATTTTGAATAAACATAAACAGAATAGCCACATTTTTAAAGTGTATCTAACATTTCTTCAAGCATAATTGTAAAAAAATGATTACCCCTTTAAGAGTGGTATAAACTGGTGTAGTCATGTTCTTATATATTAATGATGTGTAAAGTCCTGATGGAGAATATGAAGATGAAGAAGGGGAACCTGAAACAAAGTTTAAATAATAATAATAATAATAATAATAATAATAATAATAATAATAATAA